ATTTTAATAAGCTAAGTGCAGTGGTTGCTGTTTTTGAACGAGAACCAGGACCCCCTCTAGCAGCAGCTAGTGTACGCTAGGGAAATTTAAAGTACAGGTAACTAAATACCCTGCACCAGAAACCGTAAATTAATTACGTATTCATCCGATAGGACCTCTTTTATGTTGGACCTTAAAAAGGTCATCCGTCAGCACACGGCCGGCTCGTGAAATTGGAAACAGTTTCCGAGCCCAATTGTCATGGGCCAAACACTATTATCTGGCCAAACGTAGGCTCCAATCGCAAAGGAGTTTTCCCTTCTCGGCTTGACCAAGGTGGCCTTGCCACGATCGGCCGATCGTGCTAACGAAGGACGACGCCAGCCATCCCACCGTCCAGCAACACCCGCTGGCCCGTCATCCGTTTGCTTCGCCAATCTGGCGAGAGTTCCGGCCGCACAATGGGACAGGGTCACTGTGTCAGCCATCCCGATTCACCATCAACGGGAGCAGCGGTATGTACCGGTACAGTAAACAACGCGATTAGGCTACACGACACATATTACACGAAATTATGAACACAGAACAACACGCACATAATACAGGAAGTGGCGAATAAATGCGTTCAAAGAAAAGTGAAAGTTCTTCGTTTTTGTATCGCGGAACCCTCTGATTACCCGGTAGCTAGCCGACCCTGGGTGTTCCGGGGCTTGTTCTTGTCGCCTGAGTCGACCGGGTGCTGTATGTTTGATCTCCGAGTAGGTAGTTGGTGAGTGCTGAGTTCTTATATCAGTTATAAACGCTAGCAGGATGCTTGGTCAGATACACGTTCTTATGCTCGTCGGCCACGTCTTTTACCGGAAGAGAACTAATGTACCCGTCGGTTCTAGAATTTGATACGGGATCGACGGTAAACATGCTCTCGTCGGTGAACAGGATTACCGGATTTTTGTCACTTAACGAAGTTCAAGATTTTCTTGCATCGTTCGACTCGTAGCTCCCGGATGCGGTTGGTAATCATGTGAGTTTTTTTTCCGTGCCCTCGACTTCACCCCGCAATCTTCCTTTACGATCTTCCGTGCCGTAAAGTCACTGATAACGTGTTCCTTTGCCATTTTCCTTATTGAACGCACTGGATTCACCCGAATCTTCCTTTTGATAGCAGCGATAACCCTCGGAACCCGAGCTGACCTCGGACGACCTGTGACCACCTTCGCGGATAGTTGTCCTTTATTTTCTCGGTCTAAAACCCTTTTGACGGTCCACCGGGACACTCCCACGGCGATTGAAATGTCTTTTTGCGACATTTGCGCTTGGGACAAATCACGAATACGCTGCCACTTCGTCATGGCGCAACTGTCAAACTAAGTAAATCATTTTCTTTTATACACAGCCTACTACGGTATGAGCTATAGGTTACGTGCATGCAAAGAAAACCAAGGCATTGTATGCATAGCACAGGTGAAACAGGAACCTTATTTGTACGATGGTGCAAACATTATCACGCATACGGTACCACAATTATACTAATGCAAAAACGGTACAAGCTTTAAAAAACTTTCAATTAACAGCTGTGGAAAGAACACGTTGAACAAGTTGAGGGCGTTAAGTCCCAGTAGGGACGCAATAAAGCCAAATAAGAAGAAGGGCCAGTATGCAAAAGTTGTCACCACTAGGTCTCCGAGCCCCTCATGTAATACATACCCCTAAGGCCGCTACGAATACCTACGGTTTATGCAAACGTCAAGTATATATATATAAAACTACCCTACTCATATGTAGCTATGCTCACACTGCTGTATTCTACACAAGTGCCTTGTTGTGTACTGTTTTGTATTATTTTACCCAATGACAAATAAATTATCTTCAATATAAAGAAATAGAGAAGGGTTAGTAATTTCCATTTAATTCCATTACCTTATTTGATTATCCTTGACAGAAACGCGTATTTTGTCTACAATGTGCAGACTTCTTCAGTGTGTTGTACTAAAACTCGACTGAAAAAACCATCGCAATTTACCGAATATACAGAGTGACTGATAATTCGTGTTACACCCGAAAGGATGTGAAAGTAGACCAGATTTACAGCAAAAAATTGTATTGCAAGGTAGGACAACAAATCATTCCTAACTGAGTTATTGAGCAATGATTTTTCTACTGATCCAAACAGCCTCATTTTGCTCGAGTATTCATAAGCAATCAAAAATGTTGCACGACCGTGCACGGAGAAAAAATACTACCCAAAATTTGAGTTCATTTTACTTAATTTTGAGTTGAGCCAATAGAGCGGTTAGTAAACGAAGAGTGATCATAGAAACCAAGTAATGCTTATTCCCTGGTAGGCTTTGCTAATATCCACGAGTGCTCGAGGAAAAAGTGGAAGTGTTGCTCGGCAATGTAAAATAAATAGGTCAATTATTCGGTAAGGAATGGTTTTCGACCAACCTTGCCATACAATTTGTTTGCTGCAAATGTGATCATTCCTTTCGGGTGTAACACGCATTACCAGTCACCCTGTATATTAATCTAGCTACATTTTCCTTTAGAAGCTATTTAGGTAATAATGGGTGCCGGCAGTGTAGTGGTAAGCGTGATTACCTCTCACCTCAGCAGGCCTGGGTTCAATCCCAGTTGGCGTCGCCAGGATGTTCTGAGGCATAACATCTCTGATCACGTTTTCCTACGGAAGGGAAGTAAAGCCGTTGGTCTCCGGCTCATGAGTTGATGGGTCAAAAGGTAGGGTCCAAGTGTGTGAGCTGCCTTCCTGGCGTCGGTAGCATTGATGCTCAGCACGGAAAACAAGATCGACGGAAAACAAACCAAAGAAAAAAAAAATATTTAGGTAATACCTATAAGCACACAGTTCGAAAAAGTTGTGTAAATTTCTATTGAATATGATGCACATAAATGGAGCGTCACATATCATATACGTTTACATTATATATCATGTAAAGTTCTGACACAGTTCATGCAATGTAGCAAATATTGTATACAAAAGCCCATCTTTGTAAAAAAACATTGTCTGCAAGTTGCTCGGTTGCGTGAAGTGAAATACAAGTCTACGTGAATGAATGTTTACATCACAATTAAAATTCAGAATTTTTATCTGTGCAGGGTTGCTTCCACTCATGAGCTATAAAAAATGTTTTTCGGTATTATAAAATCGTTAGATGTTATTATGAGGTTGCAAAGTATGTGTTTGACACATGAAACCTGTCAAATTCGCTTTCATAAAATCGCTGATTGTGACACTCTATCAGCGATTTTATGATCCGTGAGTGTTCACTCAGAGTCAGCGCTCGCGAGTCGTAAAATCGCTGATTGCGACTATCTGAAAGCGGATTTGACAGGTTTTATGTGTCAAACACTTGTTTTTCAACCTCTTCTTGTATCTAACAAGTACAAAATAACATTTTAACATCTAATGACTCCAAAATTCCAAAATCATTTTTAAAGCTAGTAAGTGGAAGCAAGACTGTCTATAAGCCATAGGATTACGGTACAGACACCCAATTCACCCAGTGTAGTTTAGAGGATGGAACCAGAGTTCATCAAGGATAGCATCAGACCACTATATAGCAAACTGGACATGAAGACTTTGGAATGTTATTCTCTACATATCAAGTTGGCCAAGGAGTATCAAATTAAATTCCAGTCTAGGGCAAAGGTGGCAGAGGAGTGCGAATCAGATAGGAAACGGAAGCTGCACGATAGGAATCTAAACAGTCTCAACGATATGATTCTAAATGAGTCTAAACGGACACGGACGACGACCGCATTGACGGAAGATGACACACCTCAACAAGGTGCTAACATATGCGGTTACAATCAAGCCAGATGTGGAGCAGATCATCATTTACGTTAAGACAGCGACTACCAAAACATTTCCATCATCAGAATATAGCATGGACTATCACATCGAACATAATCAACGACGGACAGGACTAAAGTAGCAGCAACGAAAAGGAAATTCGCATTGTCAAGGAGTTGAAATCTAAAGCAGTATATTATGTAAATGCAAATAAGGACAACGCTTACCGCGAATTCAGGTGGGTGGGGCGCACATATGAAAAATCAGTGAGTAACCAGTATTCTGAAACTCGATCATCCAGTGGTTATGTTACAGTTCGGATTTTTTACCTTTCATAGATCGTTTTGGACGTTTTATCGGCGCACACTATTGCACCATATAAATCGAATAAATTAGTGGGAAAACAATCCTTGCGTGCTAGATAGAGAAAGACGATTAAACGTCAAAAAGTTCTAATGCATCTAATACTTGCAAATGATTTGAGACAGGGAGCCCAGAATGTTCACCAAGTATAATTGTGTGGCAAGTACAATCATACTCTATGCCCGGACCGGGAATCGAAACCAGTCACCTCCGGCATGGTCTTTCTTTGTAGCTGCGTCTTTACCGATTTAGCAAAGAGAGGCCCCCTTGTTATTATTGTGTGTATGCTAAATTAAACATTAGTATAACAATATTTAAAATACGCTGTTTTTGCTAGTGAAGCTTTTATCAATTTGAGGTGTTTTTATCACCGAGAGTAGTTTTTTCATAAATTGTCTATTTTCTTTGTCTCAGACGTCATTTAGATTAAACGAGACGGTTTTGAGCTATAATTTATTGAATAATAACGAACATGAAAAATGAAAAGCCAATCAAAGGAGGGGAATGTTTGAAATTCATTTTGTTTGGCCTGGATTTGCTCCATAGGTATTTCTAAGCCCTTATACATTCTCTTCAGGGAAATGTTGATAACTATGGCAGGGCCACATGCCATGTAGTGATATTCCTACTGAATACAAAAATCACAAATTCTGTCATATAAACGCATTCAAAATTGATTGATCCATGTACACTCAATTCTGGTTTTATGCTATTTTTTTGTCTTTATTTATGATCGTGTGATCTCAAATTGCCACCAAATTTAGCACAACTTCTTTAAAATAACAAAAAATAAATCAAATAAAAATATGAGAAACGGGTACAAATCCAAATAATTTAAAATAAGCGATTACATTCGTTCTGCATCAGGATTGCCCTCACCACCTGTCTCCCCTTTACCTCCGCTAAATACTTGCTTTGCCGTATCGGCCACCTTTTTCACAGCTCTGAAAAACTTATTCATCACATCTGAAAACCAGGCAACATCTTTTTCAACTTTTTCTCCGGCATCCTCTTGCGATTCTGCCTCTCGTTTTCTTCTCTCCAACTCATCCGGCGGTAGCGTCGTTGATCGTTTGCATGGTGATCGCTTAGTACGTTGCACGTCATCTTCATTCCCAGGGGTTTCGTCCTGCGTATCTTCCCCGCCGTCGTTTGATTCAGAGTCCTGATCTTCTTCACTCGTTGAATCGCTATACTCACTACTGGATGAATCACTGTAGTAACTGGATGCGCTTGAATCACCAGAATCTGTTCCAGTGCCATTTTCATCGCCAGAGTTAGCATTGATTTCTCGTTTCCTTCTACGTTGACCAGTATGCTCTTCGCTACTCGATGAATCACTGTAATAACTGGAGTTGCTCTCATTAGAAACTTCATCTCCGGAAGTTTCACGTTTCTTTCGCTGTGCCGCATCGTTAGGTTGATCCTCATCGCTCTCTTCAGAAGGTGGTGGAGGCGGGCCTCGACCTTTTCCTTTGCGGCCACCTTTAGGACCACCACCACCACAATCGGGAGGAGGTCCCCTTGGTCGACCTGAAGGAGGACCACCTCCATCGCCATCGGGAGGCCCAGGACGCGTTCTGTTACGCGGAGGTAGATCAGTCGTAACTGTGCCCTCATCCATCTCCTGAGGTGAACGTTTCGCTCTCCGTTGACCCTCTGACTCAGGTTCAAATGAAAGCTTGCTCAATTTTGCCTCTCGAGATCCAGTAAACGTGTGAGTTTTCATGGATCCGTCGGCTTTAGCTTCTGCGCGCCTGGTGAAGTAGAAAGCTTTATTTTCCAAATTACTCAAGACCAACGATCTCTTAATTTTTGGGCTTCCAAATAACTGTTGGTCATCATTTTGCATCAAATGATCCTTTTTAATCGGTCCTTGACTTTCATCTACTGTATCAATTCGAAGTGATCGCCTGTTCCTAATACCGGGTCCATCAACCTCTTTTTCCTCCATCTTCTCCAAATGATTCGAATGACTTTCACCTTCCGTGTGCGATTTAAACAGTTCATTTTTATGTAATTCAGTATCACTGCTCACATAGGATACCTTTTGATCCATCACACTAAAAACCATTGAACGATGGAAGTTCCCAATCAACCTCCTCCTGCGCGTAGAACTCTCCGTTGTTGTCTCCGGTCCATAGTTGTTCACATTGGAAACGCTGTTTATTTTCACAATGTTCACATTGGTTCCCCCTGCAGAGTTACTGATCAATCCTGCGGCCCGCAGTGCTTCCAATACATCCAGCGAACGCTTCCTGCGCCGAACCAAATCATCCTCGACGCTGTTGAGGTTTTTCTCCGTAGCGGCATCCCCAAATCCAGTGCCCACGCCATTGCTCGTATCGAATTTCAAACCAAAGATGTCTAGTACAAAATATAAAGGAAAAGGAATGATTGAGATTGCTTTTAATAGTTTACCAAATTAAACTATACGAACCGTAAGATTGCTGCCGTTCCGATTTGACGTTCACCCCATGGTCAATGACTTCTTTGCCCTTAGCGATTGCACCAATTACAGCAATCTTGCCCTGTTCCATGATGTTCTGCTGTGCCCTCACATGGCGACGCTGTATGATGAATTATCGAAACGCAAAAACATGTTGATAATTTTTTTTTAATGTTCTATCGGCTACGGGTCTGTCCATAAAATATTTGACCAGTTTTAAGTAATGCTTTACTTTGCTTGGTTTACAGAAACTTAAAACAAGCACATTATAAGCATTGGGAGCAGACCTTAGATCGTAATATTTAAGTTTAATGTACTGTGCTTTATTTGTGCTAGAATAAAGCACAGTACATTAAACTTAAATATTTCGATCTAAGGTCTGCTCTCGGACTTGCTTATTATGCCTTCGCTTTCCTTGCTATCTCTGGTTCCTGGTTGTCTAAAGAATCTAGTGCAGGAGTATAACCATGAAGAGCATTTCCAGCCCAAAACGCAAACCGGTTAGACATGAGTGCTTCCGATTCGAATATGTTCGCTGCAACCAATGGTTGTATTTTTCATTTAAATATGATTGTTTTCTCAAGAGTAACTTTTTAAAGGGCGTATTCAAGAGATTGACTATATTTCTTCTAAAAATCATAACATAAAAATTATTGATCCGATCAAAATGACATTTGAGAAAAAGTTGTAAGTAATTAAATGTTCTTTGAGAAAAAAAAATAGACGAAAAGAAAAAAACTCAGTCGATTTTCTTAAAACATTTTATCATCGACTTTTATATTTAAAAAAAACTGCAGTAATGCCCTAAGACTTGGCAATGAGTGTTTTCAATTTTAGCTGTTTTTTTTTCAAGATATAAGGAAATCGCATAATTTTTTAATAAATTTTTATACATAAGCTTTTTTCGTAAGTCCAGCCGTTCTCAAGTTAATGCGAATTTAAAAACTAATAATTTTGAGTTTTCAACATTTTAGATCATTTTCAAAAATCGGTTCATTGCATTCATTTTGTGCATTCATTTACATTCATTTGCCCCTAACTTTTTTCATCAACAGAATTCCGCAAAATGGTGTATGGAGCTTTTGAAGGTTTTGTTATTAACTACAACTTTTGTCAAAAACTCAAATCCATATCTCTTATGCATGACGAACCAGAGCAAACAGAATCCACTGCTGTTTTTCAGTGAATGTATTTTACATTCACTGAAAAACAGTAACGAGTTCTGCCTGCTCTAATTCGTGGTGCATAAGAGATACAGATTTAAGTTCTTAACAAACGTTGTAGCTAATAACAAAACCTACAAAATTTTAATACATCATTTTGCGGAATGCTGTTGATGAAAAGAGGCAAATGAATGTAAATCATTATCCATGCCTGGTGGAAGAATTTACAAGTAAATGCTCAAATCGGTGTTGGTAAAATCATCAATCAAATGAAATTTTTCCGCTCTCATACGCTCACGGTTATGCTCATCCAGATTGCTTGTGTGTGAATAATTTAGGTGCAAATCAGTTCAGATGTGTGGAAAATCGTAAAATAAGACAATTACTGATGGACATTGGCAAGATGTTTAATGATAAATGCTTCAATTTGTGTTGTGAAAAATCCTTCTTCTGATATAAACAAACGATTTAGTTGACGTTTCCTCTCAAACTCGCGTGGTGCCCTCTAGGATGGTGGTGCATTAAAAAGGCCTATTAATTTAACAAGCTCCTTTTTTAACAATAAGGTTCCCGTTTCACCTGTGCATACAATGCCTTGGTTTTCTTTGCATGCACGTAACCTATAGCTCATACCGTAGTAGGCTGTGTATAAAAGAAAATGATTTACTTAGTTTGACAGTTGCACTATGCCGAAGTGGCAGCGTATTCATGATTTATTCCACGCGCAAATGTCGCAAAAAGACATTTCAATCGCCGTGGGAGTGTCCCGGTGGACCGGGTGGACTCGGGTTTTAGACCGAGAAAAGAAAGGACAACTATCCGCGAAGGTAGCCATAGGTCGTCCGAAGGTTATCGCTGCTATCAAAAGGAAGATTCGGGTGAATCCAGTGCGTTCAATAAGGAAAATGGCAAAGGAACACGGGATCAGTGACTTTACGGCACGGAAGATCGTAAAGGAAGATTGCGGGGCGAAGTCGAGGGCACGGAAAAAAACTCACATAATCTTAAACTTCCTTAAGCGAAAAATTCCGGTAATCCTGTTCATCGACGAGAGCATGTTCACCGTCGATCCCGTATCAAATTCCAGAACCGACCGGTATATTAGTTCTCTTCCGGTAAAAGACTTGGCCGACGAGCACAAGAACGTGTATCTGACCAAGCATCCTGCTAGCGTTATGATGTTTTGATTGGTGTCTTCCGATTCCAAAAAAAAATAGACCCGGTGTTCATTCCAGGAGGTGACAAGGTCAACACGGAGGTCTACATCGGGATTTTAAGTAAGTATGTTCTTCCGTGGATCAAAAAACAGTACGGTTCGAAGCCAAATGTTGTATTTCAACAAGATGGGGCCCCGTGCCACACCTCGAACCGCACTCAGAAATGGTTGCAAGAACATCTTCCATTCTGGGCGAAGGATATGTGGCCGCCATCCAGCCCCGATCTTAATCCGCTGGATTACTCAATAGGGCGCGTCATGAAGGCCAAGGCCTGTTCTAAACGCCACCCGAGTACAGCAAGCCTCAGACAAACATTGACCAGTACCTGGGGAGAAATGGATCCAGACTACATTATTAGAACCTACCGTGCATTCCGGAAGCGTGTGGAGGCAGTAACTGCAGCAAGTGGAAACTCGATCGATGATAATCATAGTTTAAGACTCTGAGAAACATCCCCCCTTTGAATTAATAAAAAAAACTCGAAAACGAAATTTTTGAGATTTTTTTTTTTTAATTTGACGTTGCTCAATGGTGCAAACATTATCACGCATACGGTAGAATGTAAAAATAAAGCTGAGAGTTGACTCGACACAAAAATTATACCGTTGCACATCGTTTTCGTAAAATGCCCATTACACATATCAATATATTGACAATAAATTGACATACTGACAATATTATTGAAAAGGTGATATTGAAGATGATGATTGGTGCCAAGTATTGACGAAAAGTTGATTTTAATTTCACTTTGTCAATACTCAGAAAGTATTGCTAAAAAACCGTCAATTTTGCCATCAATTCGAATATTTGAATATTGACAACATTAATGGCAATACTTTAGAAGCCTTTTTACCTCAATTTCTTCTTCTTCTTCGCATTTCAAGCTTATTGCGTATGGCATTATTAGCTTATTGCGTGCTCTCAACTTAGTGTTCTAGATGCACTTCCACAGTTATTAATTGAGAGCTTTCGATGCCTGTACCATTTTTGCATCGGTATAATTGTGTGGCAAGTCCAATCATACTGCTATGTCCAGGGAAGTCGAGAAATTTTCCAACCCGATAAATTCCTAGACCGGAACGGGAATTGAACCCAGCCACCTCCAGCATGGTCTTGCTTTGTAGCTGCGCCTTTACCGACTGAGCTAAGGGAGGCCCCCTCAATTTATTAAATTTAATATTACTTGTCTCAATTTCCCCACTCGGAAAAAAATCCGTTCCCAAAAACGGGAACGGACCGTGAACTAAAAATCACGGCCAGCTATTCAGAACAAAATTTTCTCAAATATACACCGTGAACTATGGTTCACGGCTGTGGTTCACGAATATGGGAACTCTTTTTTCCCGTGCACACAAGAAATATAGATCAGCGAACGAAAGTGTTAGAGTTAATGTTTGCATTCGGGTCCAAACAGAAACGATTGCTGGACCTGTATGTATTGAAAATACTAGCTACACACTGAATTCGGATCACCGAAGTCGGTAAAATTTGCCGGGTTTTTGAACAGCTGCAAAAATTGGAAAAAAAAATTCAAATGACCGTTACTCGAAGGAAATCAATAAAATCGACAAATTTGATTTGTATCATTAAATGGGGTTAACTAGGCCGTACATTTTTGGAATAAATTTCTAAATTTTTAAAAAATTTCACTGATTTTTAAACTTTTACCGAACAGTTCCGTAGTTCAAAAATTACCAAACAGCGGAGTCCTGGACATATATAGAAACCAATTTTCACCCAACATTTACTTATACTTGCACATTTTAAATTAATTTTCAGGATTTTTAGAATAAATAGTGTAAAATAAGAATCTATTCCAGGCCTATTATTATGTTCTCATAATGATATAAGAACTAGGTGATTAATTATAGCATCCAATTTTATTTTTGATATCACTGAACTCTCCTGTTTCGTTCGAACAATAATGTTTACCTAATGTTACCCATACATATAATGCTGAGTTTTATGATAATGATACACTAGTTTTATCATGATGAAAATCATCTTATACTTTCTGGAAAATTACTATTGATGATTATTAAAGTCAACTAATGACCAGAAGACGTGTAAGAAAATATATCATATGAACTGTATTAATGGCCACACATATAGTTTATTTATATAGTAGAGATGAACCAGCCTAAGGCTGAAAGTCTCGTTAATAAAGGAAAAAAAAAAGTTTATTTATTAACATTGGATGTACCATGAACGTGGGTTATTCTGCGTGAGCTGTAATTCCGCGGACTCGTCATTCAAATACCAAATTGGTTTACCAAATGTTGTAACTGTTTGACAGCACTCAGAAAATACATAGGACAACAGATAACATGACATGTACTTCCAAATTAATTGAATTTAATCAAATCGATTACCGAGTGCGCGGAATAACTACACGTGTGGAATAACCTCGGGAATAACCCACGTTCACGCTACGCAGTTTCCCAAATAGAAACTATCATGCTGATGTTTTGGTAAATAACCATAAATGAAAATCATGCATACAATAATTAATTTTCGTTACTGGTAGGTATCCCAAGTAACAATTAGGGTTTTATGGGGGTTTTGTAGACTATGAATTAGACTTGTAGCATGTTTTAAAACCGTGATAAAACTTGCAATGTTTCTTGGGATGTGAAACGCTGATAGTATTTATTTTATTTTAAAGTAAAAAAAAATAACATGATTATGCTTGTGATTTTGTAGAAAATGTACATCCATATAAACGAAGCCTGGGGGATTGG